GCAAACCTGGTTCGCAGAATGTGGTATAGGACCAATGGTTGAATTCTCCAAAAATGACATGGGTCGAGGTGGAAACTACTAACCAGTCCAATCAGGATAAGAATATTTTTTGGGAAAATTCCAATACCGGTCTTTCATATCGCCTCAAACGAAATAGAGCGAATAGCCTTCTTTCTATTCAAGCATGTTGAACTTTGCATTTTTGCTTGCATCTATAGATGGCCTCAGACTCGTAGTAGCACATCGGCTTTATAAAAATGCAAAATTAGAGCAATAAAACATTTTTACCCAATAAATTGAGTCAACTTGACTCAAATAAAACGTGGTAAATAAATTAAGATGATTGAAAGGAGATAAACTCTGGGAACATGTCATAGTGAATGGTGACGAAATGACACACTCTGTTCCGAAACTGAGAAGACCGTCGTCGGGTCTGTAGGTGAGAGGATCAAAGGAAAAAAGAAAGGCAAACAAAATGTACGGCGATGGATGGCTGAACGTAGGCTGGACGGAATGTCTCTTGAACGGTCGACGACAAAGTAAGAGTGAAAGGGAAAAATGTAAAATCAAATTGCCGTCAAGCTCAACCAAGCATCGGAATGACGAATGCCAAGTGGCTGAACGAACAAGTGAGATGGTGTCGGTGTGCAAATCGTAGCTGTTCACGACAGAACTTGCTCCTCTCTCGGCCCACCAGACAAGCTACAAAAGGTCGAGTTCCGGGTCTGTCGTCAGCCCGGCTCGAGACCCCTTCGGCGCCCCTGAGACGTTGAAGCAGGCCGGAGCGCTGCCGGGCTGCCGGAAGGTCTGGCCTGCACGACTGTGACTGGTCGGCTGGGCCGACACACCAACACACTGTTGATAGGAGACCTCGACTCCCGAGGCCAGGACTCTGGTCAACAGACCGGGCGATCGGCAACGCAGACCACGGACAAGACTGCCGGCCAACTGGACCGGCAGTCGCGGTGGCAACAGCGAATTGGCAACGGTCGAGTTGGCGACAATGACTCGAGGCCGAATTGCAGTTCGGCTGATACGATCCAAGCGCGGTAACTCCGCCGGCCTCGTTTTTCGCAGACCAAAACCAGCCGTCTTAGTGGCCAAGGTCGCAGCTCCTCGCCGTGTCGTTGCTATGGCCTCGACTGAGGCTGGATGAGCTTTCGTCACACCCCAACCGGCCATCGCCATGTTTTCGGGTGGTCGAGTCGGCCAAACGCCAGGCGGTTTATTGGTCGCTTTGGCTCCGGTCTTTGGCGGTTTCGGATCACAAAAGCTCTCAAAGTTGGCCAACATGAAACCGAGGCTCGAGGCTGAGAACAGCCCGACCAGCGGCAATGCGCCGCCTGCTTTATGACTTGCCGACGTCTTCGCCTCCGGCTGCCCTGGCAACTCGCCCTGTTCAACCGACCCCGCTGACGGCCAGTCTTCTGTCTTGCCGACCTCATCGTGATCTCTGAAGTCTGGTGTAGCCATGGCGACCATCACCACCTCCTTCTCTTCCGCCTCCTTTGAGTTGAGCCCGCCCGAGCATTTGTCCGGTCGCCGGGACGACTGGTCCTCTCGACTTATGGCATGCGTCGAGGGGTCGGGACTCGATGTTCTTTGACCGGTCGCCTCGGATTGACTCGACCTTGGAGACGCCAATTGTTCTGAAGGATTGACAAATTGCTGTGTCGTCTTGTCCTTCGACCTGCTGTATCTATCCCCCGACGGCGGGCCAATCAGGCAAGCTGACTCCGTGACCGACTGAAGACTTGCCGACACGCCAGTTGCCGAGGCCCGACCGACCGACTGAGTCCCGCCACACTCCGGTCTGGGCTTGGTTGTCGCCTCAAAGGCGCTCATTTCCGCTTTGGCCGCTTGCCTCGACTGCCCAGACCGACACTCCTCCTCCAGCCTCGACACAAACAGGCTCCGGCTCGGCCTCAACCGTGGACTCGGACTCGGAACCGGAACCGGAACCGGAACCGGA